TAAGGGTACGCATTAAAAATATACCACTTTAGTATCTGTCTATAACAACAAAAATTGCAATATGAGCTCTGCTAAAAACATAAAATGATAAGAGCAAAAATTGCAATATGAGCACTGGTGAAAAACGGTTGCTGAAGACGTTAGGTTTATAATACCCAGAAATTCATACACGGGTGTCCTCAAGGACACATGCCACAGTGGATAAAGGCGTTGCTTTCGATCCAGTGACAGGACCCAAAAAGTGTGAGTTCAATACCCGGTTAAGGCAGTGGAGAGCTTGGAGAGGGAAATTAATAGTGGAACGCTTAAAGCATACACTCGAGCAGGAGATAACTGACGACATTAAACATGGCACATGGAACTAGAACGGCCTACCCCAGTGAACGAAATAAAGGGTTAAGTTCGACATTCCAACCACCCGAAGAAGGCCAAACGTTGTAAAAATATGGCGACAAAGATGAGGGCAATAGTCCGAATAATGTAAATAGTATATACCACTGTTTTTAATTGATAATAGGCCACGTAAACCATGGAATTGATAGTGGGACACTGAAAGCATAAAGTGGTGTAATTGATAGGCTGACGTACTAAGAATACAATTGATCCAATTGAAATTTGGACACATAAATCTTACAATTGATGTAAATGACAGTGGTGAACATAATTTAAACAATTGATGTTATTGATAGTAAGACAAATAAAAAAACTCATTGAATAGTTCATAGTTAAAATGGAATTCTTTAAAAACGTTTAATATTAACAGCATAGTTTCTTTGTTTTTGGTTTTGGTTTCTTCTGGTCTGAGTCATCATCTCGTGGTTCAGGTTCTTTAGTCGGTATTTCTTCATCGGCAACTCGTTGTGCCTCGTTTATGGGTTCTTCTTTAACTGGAGCTCTGCCTCGATATCCTATTCCTCCTCTTCCTTTGAACGTTCCAACTTTTTTCCCTCTATTTTCATCTCTGTTGTCTTCTTCTTCTCTAATACCTTCTTCTTCTTCTTCTCTAATGTCTTTTTCTTCTTCTCTATTACCTTCACCTTTGTCGTCGTCTATACCCGCCTCTTCTTCCTCTCCTTCACTCTTTCCTTCTTTCTCGTTTCCTTCTTCTTTCTCTTTCTTCTCTTCGTCTTTGTCTTTGCTTTGGCTCTCGTTGTCACTTTTCTCTTTCTCAGTTCTCTCCTCCTTTTCTTTTTTCCTCTTCTTCCTCAGCTCCTCCTCCTCTTCGTCTTCTTCGTCCCCATCCTTTTCTATTTCTTGACTTTTCTCATCTGGGTCCTTCACCAGAGGTAAGACATCCGCCAGCGCCTTCTCCACGGATTCCTTTCGACCGTCATTATCTCCTGTCATCAGCTGTTCACATTCTTTAAGCGACTCCGCTGCTTCCCTGTGGTTACCAAGTTTCGTATCTGCACCGGCCATTAACATGAGACTGGACTTCATGAACTCCTTACTTGACCCAACTACAGCCGTGTCATAGCACATCTTCCCGTAACCGCGAGCCTTCTCATTATTCAATCCCAGGTAACATTGCCCTAAATAATAATAAAGGTCCATTTCTTCTATCTCTGACATTTCCCCACTTTCCGCTTCTTCTTTGTCACCAGACTTAGACTTCAACTGAGTATCATTCTTATAACAAAGACTGATCGCTCCTAACGCTTTTAGCCGGAGATCGACGTCTTTACACCATTCTCCGATCGAAAGTAACGCCAAAAATGCGCACCTTGCCTTTTCCCATTGTTTCAGTTCCATATTACTGGCCCCGATCCAAGAATACAGTTTGAGGATAAACTTACGCTTAACTTCCCAATCGGTATCTTTATAATCCCCTGCCATTCGAACGCATTCTTTAATGCAATCCTTGTAGCGTTTTGAGTTGAATGTTACCTGAATTTCTTCCAGATCATCTTTGATATTTTGCGGGGTGCTAGCCTTGCCCGTCCTGTAAGCTAGCTTTTGCGTCTGTAGGTATTTCGCCTGGTTGTTCAGATAAACCAGACGATCAATAATAATCAGTTTCGATAGCCAATCACTCTCTGTCTTAAATTCGACACACTTGAGAAGCTTCTTCAAAAATTTCTTGTCTTGGTAAATTTCTTCCAGCAAATTCTGCAACTTGTCCCGGTGAGGTATCGGCAAATTCGGTTCGGCTGTAATGCCCTCGCTCGACGACGATTCGTCGTAACCTTCCTTCTTGCCACACTCCATCGGTTCTTCAGAGCGATAGATGGGCAACTCGTCCAACCAGTGGACTGATTTCTCGATCGCATTCTCGCATTTGTGGATCCCGTTCAAAAAGATATCCGAGCGACCAGGTAGTTTCAGTCCCTGATAAAGAACTAGAAGCGCGACTTCGTAATTACTTTGCTGGTAATAGGCTTCTGCCTTTTGGTATACAGCCTCGGCAAAATTCTCATCCTGTTGCAGAGCGAGTTGGGCATCGGCGAGGGCCTTGGCTGGCTTTCCTAATCTTAGAAAGCATTTCGAACGAGCCACCAGGCAGTGTTTGTCGGTGGGGCAAATCTCTAATGAACGACTGTACAACTCACAGGCTGGTATATATTTTTTCTCCAAATAGAGTTTTTTGGCTTGGGTGGAATAACTACGGAAATAAACATTCTTTGGTTCCTCCTTTTGTGATGCCATAGCTGTTGGGAGATGAAAATTGTAATGCTTCTTTTCTGTCAATTTCAACTACAGTTTTAAAAGGTATGTTTTTAGCATCGCAGCAACAGTAATAATAATTAAGTAAATTTTCGCCAGAATCTAGTCATATAATTTAAAGTTTTCAATAAAAGCAAAAGATTAATGCTTCGTTTTTATGGGTTTTGTTTGTTTTTTTTGTTTTGTTTTTTTGTTTTGTTTATTTGTTTTTGTTTTTTTTTTGTTATTTAAGCAGCAAGCAGAAACGATTAAGTTATGCCTTAATACTTTTGGTTTCGATCGTAGACTGAAGAATGTCGCGACAGGCGATGAGATTTTCCTTAACAATCGTTAAACTTTTAAACATAGCAAACGTTTGAAACTCGGGCTTCCAGCGTTTTTTTTTTTTTTTTTTTGTTACCAATTATTCACTCAACCATTGGAATTCTGCCACGTGTCTCTGCCGTTTTGCTTGACGTTTGAAAAACAAGCGAAAACGGCGATGACTTATCTGGTCGTAAACCGTTAAAAGTTTGCAACTATCTATGTATAAAATTCTATGATTTTCATTACTCCGTCCGTCACATCCGCCAAAATAGCCACACATCGACCGATAGAAACGAAATTAAAAATACCATTACCATGAAGTCCTGTTAAATTAAATGATTAAACCGCGAAGTATTTTTCCAAACCAATCAGCTTATTCCAATTTCATCGCTTGCTTTCTGAGATTGAACAAAACTTAGAGGCGATAACTTGAACGTGTGTTGCAAACAAATTCTATTATTTCAAAATTTTTAAATACTTCCAATTGGATATAAAATGTTTAATATCTCGACATTTAATGTTAGAAGATGTGTGGAAAAAAGAAAAGTAGGAATTATTGGCCCTGGATATTGTTAATTGCAACATTGGCGTGTATGTTCTCTGGAAGAAACCAAAATTAAATCAAAGAATAGCTTGATATTAATATTAGAGTTGGCACAAGTTAATACTTTGGGAAGCAGGCAGCAAAATACAGGTTGCCCCCACTCAAAATTGACATCATTTTAAATGTGAATATCTGAGTAACTATATATCCCAGGCAAACAAAATTAAATAGGCTTCATGTTGAATAATAAAAGATTTATTCATCAAAATTTGAACAAGATATTCAAAGGGATGTCGATGTTTTAACCGATTTCATAAAGCTTCATAAATGTTCCCTATGCGCATCACCTGTGGTACGGAACACATCAAGACGTTAGTCCAGTTCCTGCCAAACACGCTGTAGTATGTCTTGCGTAACATTCTCCAGCGCCTCCGTGATTCTCTAGGCTTGTTGGAAGCGGGGGAGATACAGACCTGTTCTTTCACATAGTCCCTTAGAAAAATCACAAGGTGTTAAGTCAAGTGAACGTGGTAGCCATTTCAACAGCCCATTGTCATTATCACTGGCGTGGCCGATCCATTTTTCTGGTAGATTCTCATTGGGATAAGTCCGCACAGTCAACTTAGTTTTTACACATTTTGTTAAAATTTGAGATCATTTGAGCAGGAATTGGCTATGTTATTAGACTACAAAATGATGTCATGGGGGGGCCTTGTATCATGAAAATGGTTTCATCATCGATACCAAATGGAAAATGAGAAGAAAAGGACTAAACATCAACCTGAAGAAGACAAAATGCATTGTTGTCAGCAAAAGGATGATCCATAAATATTAATTACAAATCGTTGATATCAAAATCAATCTAGTACAAATATTTTATTTTTCTCTTTATCTCTCACACACACACACACTCTCTCTCTCTCTCTGTATATATATATATATATATATATATATATATATATATATATATATATAGTTTATAAATTCAAGTGCCCTTTGGGAGATTGTATCTCCAACGAATTAAATAATATTTATGTTGGTCACACCACAAACTCGCTTTCACGACACTTGACACTACATTTGAATAAAAACTCTAACATTTTAGGCATTTAAAACAACATGCCTGGCCGCACACACAATTCCGTAAAATCCTTGTTGAAAACACAATTATACCCAACATGAAAACAATAGGCAAAAACTAAAAATCCTTGAAGCATTATACATCAAACAGTTAAAACCCAACCTAAACAAAATCAATTATGGCATCTCTACAAATATTCATAAATGTCTATAATTGGTAACAGAGGCCATTGGTTTATACTAACGGCTTCCCATACTTGATACTTCTCGAATATACACTCTCGTGTGGTCATTTGTGACGTCATGAGTTGCGGTGCGATTTTCGTTTCTAGCGTCTTATATGCACATTTTTATCGTTGCTAGGAAATCATCCATGTAAACAATCACAGATTTTCATCAGTGTCTTGTCCGTATATTGCTTAATATGTTGTACAGTAATTGACATCTTTGATAATGGCTTATGTAAGCCGAAAGCTTATATTGGATTAAAAAATATGAATCAATATTGTGATTTTCTTTCTTCGTTTAATGATAATGTTATTAAGCTTATCAGACATTATGAAAAGAATTTACATAAAATAGACAACACTTTTCTATATTATTTAATGAAACATGTATCAATATATATATATATATATATATATATATATTAACAAGTTTAAGATATCAGCAGATCACGCTACCTTGGTTTCACGCTACCTTGGTTTCACGCTACCTTGGTTTCACGCTACCTTGGTTTCAACCTTTCAGTATCTTCAGGCGATTCGATTTTTTTTTCACTTGAAAATATTCTAGGCTTGTAGGAAGAGGAGGGAATATAGATCTGTCCTTTCATATAGCCCCTTAGAAAAAAATCACAAGTCAGATGAACGTGGTGGCCATTTCAACATCACATTATCATTATCACTGACATGCCCGATCCATCTTCCTAGTAGATTCCCATTGCGATAAGTCCGCACAGTCAACTTAGTTTTTACACATTTTGTTAAAATTTGAGATCATTTGAGCAGGAATTGGCTGTTATTAGACTACAAAATGATGTCATGGAAATGGTTTCATCATCGATACTAAATGGAAGAATAACATTTGTAGACATTGAAAAAACAATCATAGTAAAAACATTGAATAACGACATGGAAAGTTTGGTTTGGTTTGTTTTGTTTTATGGCATATCAACCTCAATGGGTTATTTTATCCCGACAAAATTTTTTATTGCTGGTAATATTTTGTTTTGTCAAAAATCTATTTCTGGTGATATTTTTTTCCTTAAAAAATGTATTGCTGGTAATTATTTTTTTCAAAAATGTATTGCTTGTCATAGATTTTTTTTTTTCTTCAAAAATTTATTGCTGATAATAATTTTTTACAAAGTATTTCTGGTATTAAAACCTATTTTACACTTTCATAGTGTTTTTATCCCAGTTTCGTGGTTAACTATTTGCTCATAGCTGGGATCGTAACAGGTACTACCACCCCTGGTCAGGGCAGACCTGGGAACACCAGCAATTAAGAGGTGATTCCACGCTCCTCAAAACCTCCTGATCAGAGGCCTGCTGTTGGATGTTAGTTTATCGTCTTACCCAGGACGCTAGAAGCCATGAGAGGAGTGTTGGAATAATGATTTGGACTAACATTGTAGGTAGTAAAATTATAGGTCACTTCGCTTAGACAAAATCTTTTTGAGGGCTACAGGACGCGGATGTAGTTTATCGTCATACCCAGGACGGAACGACATGGAAAGAAATATCAATAAAATCTTATCATTCTCTGTAAAAAAAAAAAAAAAAAATTGAAGTTCTTGGAAGACCAACAGAATTTTTATCAATTTTGTGAGGTTTGGAGAGGGACTGATAACATACTTCTGGTTTTAGTTAAGCTGAACGTTACAAATCACCATTTTACTTGTTCCTGGCAAAGAGAGTAGGGTTGTCTGACATTATCGTTCGTTATTTCCTTAGGATAAAAATGGCAGGTCTCATACTAACCATTCACTCTTCCTTCCCTTATTTATTTTAAATACACAATGAAGTTTACTTATTTATTGAGTAGTAGTTTCGACCCGTCGACCAAATACGGTATTGTTAGTTGATTGAAAAGGACAAATAACTAACATTAAATTGATTAATGCAGTATGAACGGGTCAAGAAAGGAACGAGTTAAAATCAATCTAGAATAGTGAAGACCAGAAACTCAGTGTTTTATATGACGTATTTGTAAATATAAATAAAAGCTTACAGCTATACCATCGATGTTAATGCACTCGGGGCCGGCAACGTTTTGTTAACTATGTGCCAACTTAGAGTTTTAAAATCACTCAGTGTGCCAACAGCATATGTATTTTTATACAAGTCAAGGTAAATATACCTGTTCCACAATATATTTTATATATTAATATGGAGTATATATACGTTAGTGTACATAATACAACTGTTTTTGTATGATTTTAGTTTTTAATGTCTGTTCAGGTTTCTTAATTATATCCTTTTCATTGGCTTCTATATCCTTTTGAACTTTTGTCATAGCAATGCTGAAATGTTTTTTTTTTATTTCATATGACGACTTTCAGAACATATTGAGGGAATGATGGGAAAAGTAATCTACTTCAGAGGTCGGCGACCTTTTGCTAACTATGTACCGACTTAGGGTTTTAAAATCATTCAGTGTGCCAACAGCATACGTAATTTTTATACAATTCAATATACCTGTTCTACAATATATTTTATATACTAATATATAGTATATATACTTTAGTATGTATTAAAATTGAAATATTAAAATTCTAAAATTATTAAAATTCTTTCCGTTGTAGTTGTTATTGGCTCGGACTTCGTGATGTCATTTGCAGCTGCGTGCCATTGGAAATTGCTTGGCGTGCCAAATGTGGCACGCGTGCCCGTAGGTTGCCGATCCCTGTCCTAGAGCAACTACTGGATTATATGTTGTATCGAACAAACCTAATTCACGTAATAACAATTCATTAATGAACTTATGAGAAAATGTTTACGCAATCGCCCGTATCTCGACAGTATCATCAACAATGGAGGTCGCTAAA